AAGGCCCAGGATAATGCTAAAGTAGTTCAACTTTTTAATAAAAATTGTACAGCACTATTGGAGAGGGGAGTGGAAAACAAATTTGCATCATACAAAGGTTATTCTGGATACTATGAAAATGGACTAAGCAGGAACAGAAGGGAAACAAAGAGAAGAGACTGGTTTAGAGGCTATTACAATGACCAAGGAAAAGCGTAATAGGGCCTGAACCAAGCCAATGTGAACAGAGAAGAAATGGATTTGAAATACATTATGCAGGCTGGGCACGATGGCTCACACCTGTAATCCCAACACATCAGAAGGTCGAGGCAGGTGGACTGCATGAGTCCAGGAGTTCAAGATCAGCCTGGGCAACATGATGAAACTCCACCTCTACAAAAAATTTTAAAAATTAGCTCAGTGTGGTGGCGTGCACCTGTAGTCCCAGCTACTTATGAGGCTGAGATGGGAGAATCACCTGAGCCTGGGAGGCAGACGCGGCAGTGAGCTGAGACTGTGCCACTGAATTCCAGCTTGAGTGACAGAGCAAGACCCTGTCTCAAAAAAAAAAAAACCATCATGGAAATGGAAATTAGTATTACTTAGTGACGTGGGAGCTGAATGAGGGAAGATCTGTTTCTGGCTTCAAAAAAATGTGTGAATAATGGCACCACTTACAAACATGGGGAATAACAGAGAAAAGGCAAGTTTGGGGCTAAGACCAGTGAAATGTGTCAGGGAGGAACACTCACTCAGTGTGCAAACATACTGAGTCTGAGGCGGATACAGGACACCCAGACACAGATGATGACTTGCATAGATGGGCCTGTAGATAAAAAAGACCAAGACTGCGATGAGATTCAGGGTTACAAGCGAAGAGATGGAAATTAAGCTCACAGCAAATGAGATCATTCATCCAAGTGTTACGGTAAGGAGGAGAGAGAAACAGATTCCTGAAGAAATAAAGGCAAAGTGAGGAGGAGATGCCCTGAAAATAGGGGGACCAGAGGGGAAAATCAGAAAAATTATGGGTTAGGAAAGAAGGCACGGTCAGCTGGGCTCAGTGGCTCATGCCTGTAATCCTAGAGCTTTGGGAGGCCAAGGTGGATGGATCACTTGAGGTCAGGAATTCAAGACTAGCCTGGCCAACATGGCGAAACCCTGTCTCTACTAAAATTACAAAAAAAAAAAAAAAAAAAGCCGGGTATGGTGGTGCATGCCTATAATCCCAGACACTTGGGAGGCTGAGGCAGGAGAATAATGTCAAAAGTCACAGAGGGGTAAGAGAAAGGAAACCAGTAGAAAGTCTCTCATTGCATTTGACAACTAGAAGCTACAGTGCTTTAGAATAAAAGTTTCAGTGGTGAGGCTGGGGAAGAAGCATGGGCTGAAGCGTGCATAGTGGGGAGAGTGGAGAGACAAATGACACAGTGCATTATTTTAAGCCTGTGTGTACCTGTGAACAGGTGTAGGTAAGAAATGCCTATCTATGTAGGTAAGAAAGGAAGTGGGGGCTGGGGTGAGATATAAGGGTTGAGACAAAAGAGAGCGAACAACATTTATACAAAAGGGAAGAAGTTATGAGACAGAAAGAGGCTGAAAACACACGAAGAGTGGTGATGACGAAGAACAGAGCCCAGGACGAGAATGTGGACAAAAGACTCGCCTAAGCCAGGGGGAGGGGAGGCTTCTCTCCTGGGACTTTAGGGAAGGATGGGCGCAAATGAAAGTGAGTTTCCAGGTGACAGAACATGAAGCCGAGGTGGTGTTTCCTGATTTTTAAAATGTTTCTCTGTAGAACTGAAGGCAGGATGATATTGATGAGGGGCCCTGAGAGATGGTTTACTCGGTGCAAAGCTGGAGCAGAGTGGCAGTAGGGCTGATGAGGGCATGAGGACAGCAAGGCAACCCCAGGCCCAGTTAACACTGGAGTCCACCCAAGGTACATACTCATTTGCCCAAAGGGCAGAGAAGATGAGTACTAATTTTTCCAAAGCTGGAGCTTCACAAAGTGGTGTAATTAAAAAGTCCACAGAGTTCTTTTTTAAATATAAAAACAGCAAGAAAGTTATTAATAGACAGGTTAGAGGATGAAGTAATATACTACACTGCATTTTTTAATCGAAATTTTAATTCAATACATTTCCAGCTTCACGATACATGAAAAAGTCAACTAAAGATCCTGCTAAAGGCCACGCGGGGCAGCATGCACCTGTAGTCCCAGCTACTCAGGAGGCTGAGGCAAGAGAATTGCTTGAACCTAGGAGGCGGAGGTTGCAGTGAGCCGAGATCGTGCCACTGCACTCCAGCCTAGGCAAGAGAGCGAGACTCTGTCTCCACAAACAAACAAACAAACAAAATGATTCTGCTGAAGTCAAAGAGTAGGTACAGTGGGAATAATCAAGTGAAAGCTGGAACTGGAATGACAGAAAGTAGCCCTCAAGGTAGCAGAGTTTCAGATTTCAGAGGTGAAGGTGACTAAAGATCAATGTCAGTGGAGCTGAACAGTTCTAGGAACTCTAGCGAAATGAGTCAATAGTTCTTTCTCAGAGACATGAAATCACCCAGAATAAGGAAGGTGGGAAGGAGAGGGTAAGAAGACAGTGAGTTACTGAAGTCAGAAACAGGCCCTAAGGCGGTATGGGGATGTGTGGGCCAGCACAAGCCTTGGAAGAGATCATTTCCATTTGCAGGCTGAAAGTGCACTGGCTCAGACTAGAAAATCCTGTGGTTACGCAGGACACAAGAATGAGCAGTCTCCATCTGAGAGATCCGGAGAACATGGCTTACTAGGGAGGCGTGTGTGGGGAGCGAAGGGGCAAAGAAGAACACTAGGGAAAACATGCACTTAGGGCTGCTCCCAGCAAAGCACAGCTACAGAAGACACACACTGTGTGGACAGCAAGAGGGAAGCTCCGTTCTTTCAAGGCTAAGTGCTTTTCTTTTTTGTTTTTTCTTGTTTTTATTTTTTTTTAATATTTTTTTATTTTGAGACAGAGGAGTCTTGATCGCCCAGGCTGGAGTGCAATGATGCGATCGGCTCACTGCAACCTCCACCTCCCAGGTTCAAACAATTCTCCTGCCTCAGGCTCCCAAGCAGCTGGGATTACAGATGCCCACCAACACACCCGGCTCATTTTTGTATTTTTCACCATGTTGGTCAGGCTGGTCTCAAACTCCTGAACTTGTGATCTGCCCACCTCGGCCTCCCAAGGAGCTAGGATTACAGGCGTGAGCCACCACGCCTGGCCAGCTAAGTGCTTTTCAATGAGAAGGCATACAGGAAGAGCCTGGTCCCAATGATGATGGAGACAGGCCTGATATGCACATTTTAAACAGAGTCTCCCTGCAGCCTTCAACTGCAGGTATACAACCTAAGTCCAAAAGCTTATGTGACAAATCTTGAGTTTTATTGATGTATATACCTGAGGATAACTTAAGTTACAAATGTTTTTACTTTAAAATAAAGTGTCTCGGCTGGGTGCAGTGGCTCAAGCCTGTAATCCCAGCACTTTGGGAGGCCAAGGCGAGTGGATCATGAGGTCAAGAGATCGAGACCATCCTGGTCAACATGGTGAAACCCCGTCTCTACTAAAAATACAAAAAATTAGCTGGGCATGGTGGCGTGTGCCTGCAATCCCAGCTACTCAGGAGGCTGAGGCAGGAGAATTGCCTGAACCCAGGAGGCAGAGGTTGCGGTGAGCCGAGATCGCGCCATTGCACTCCAGCCTGGGTAACGAGCGAAACTCCGTCTCAAAATAAAATAAAATAAAATAAAGTGTCTCAATTCCAATTTTTAAAAAATTATCAGCTGGGTATGGTGGCTCATGCCTGTAATTCCAGCATTTTGGGAGGCCAAGGCAGGTGGATCACTTGTGGTCAGGAATTCAAGACCAACCTGGTTGAGATGGTGAAACAGGGGAACAACCAGAAACAAGCAAAAACCAGCACATGATCAATTTGATACTGTGTTTTAAGTCCCTTCTAACAAGGAGCCCTAAAGAGAAAACCTATGCTTAGCCCACTAAAATCAAACACAGGGAAACATGCTGAAGCAGGAAAGAAGCCCAATTTAATATGTGAATAAGCTGCATGAATCAGAACAAAAAATAAAATCACTGCATGATGAATACACCGAAGAACTCTAATATTATAATTGTTCACACAGGTGTGTATGTGTGTGTGTGTGTGTGTGTGTGCGTGTGTAGCCACTCTATGAGGATAGTCATGGGACTCATTTCAAATTTCCCTAAAATAACAAAAATATATTTTAATATCCATCTTCAATTTTCCACAGCAAAACATATCTTCCCAGCCAGTGTAAATGTATTATTTACATCATAATCTAAATGTCCAACCACAAGGGAACTTATGTAAAAGAATGGTATATCCAAAGTCGCTGTCAAAGCAATTAAAAATTGTGTTTATAGTAAGAAAATGTTTACAATGTACTGCTAAGAGCTACAAATGAGTATGTGAAAGGTTCTAATTTTCAATTTAAAATACGTTCATTTTTAAAAACTCCAAAGAATATAAACCCAAGTTATGATTTATTTTTAAATAAGTTTGTTCCTTATACTTTTCTATGTTTTATAAGTTTTCTACAGTGAGTACATACTACTCTTGTAACCTGGGGAAGGAAAAAACCAAACTACATCAATAACTACTTTAAGTAATACTTACAAAGGCCATGTAGTAAGATGAAAAGGAAACATATATGGATATTATATATACATATATAATTACAATTATTTTAAAGAAAAATTGTGCATAAGAAAAACAGGTTGGTGGGAAATACATCAAAATTAATAGTGCCTATGTTTGAAGGATGAAATAATTACCCATTATTTTTCCTTCTCCTACTCTACACCTTTAAATTCTTCTTTAAAGAATGTGTATCATGTAAATAGGAAAAAATTAGTGTATTTATCAACAATGACCCCAAGCCCTCCTTTTCACTACATCCTGCCTGTTAAAACAAACCAAAAAATACACATGCACACAAACCCATAAGTACTTACATGGGCTTACATCTCTGTATCTGTTTCGATTTCTGTTTTCTGGAAACTTGGCCACTCTATGAGGATAGTCATGGGACTCATTTCGAATTTCCTTAAAATAATAAAAATATATTTTAATATCCCTATCCAATTTTCCACAGCAAAACATATCTTCCCAGCCAGTGTAAAATAACATTAAGGACTTATGATACGCCAAGTACTATGCAGAGCACATTGTCTACAACATCACCTCATTTAATCCTCACAATACTAACGGAAACAATTTTCTTCCCCATTTTATCTGTAAGGGATGAAAGGCTTTCAGAAGTTAAAAAATCCAAAGGTCCCACAGCCCCCAAGATTGAACCAAGGTCCTTCATATGCCAGACTGTGCTCTAGATCTGTTTATTTACTCCTAATTAGGCTCTATTCAACACCTACAAGCAAGCATCAAACACTTTATGAAGCAGAATCAATGCAAGGGAGGTATCTATGATCAGCCACATCATATTCAAATTTTGACTAAAACTTAGCGTCTACCTAAATTTTGGAGTTATACCTCTAAAAATTTATTTCTTCATCTTCATGCTACTTAATTGTTACTTCATTTTGAACTCAGAAATATCCTCAAATATTATTTCTATCATGTTTGTCATTACTTCTCCTTCAAAAAAAATTATTTCTAGAGCCATAAATGTTCAGTAACAGGCCGGGCATGGTGGCTCACGTCTGTAATCCCAACACTTTGGGAGGCCGAGGTGGGAGGATCACCTGAGGTCAGGAGTTCAAGACCAGACTGGTCAATGTTGTGAAAGCCCAGCTCTATTAAAAACACAAAAGTAGGCTGGGCACGGTGGCTCATGCCTGTAATCCCAGCACTTTGGCAGGCTGAGACAGGTAGATCACAAGGTCAAGAGTTTAAGACCAGCCTGGCCAAAAGGGTGAAACCTCATCTCTACTAAAAATACAAAAATTAGCCAGGCATGGTGGCAGGCGCCTGTGATCCCAGCTACTTGGGGTGCTGAGGCAGAGAATTGCTTGAACCTGGGAGGCGGACGAGGTTGCAGTGAGTCGAGATTGCACCACTGCAGTCCCGCTGGGTGACAGAGCAAGACTCCGTCTCAAAAAAAACCAAAAACACAAACACAAAAACAAAACACAAAAATGAGCCAGGTGTAGTGGCAAGCGCCTATAATCCCTGCTACTTGGGAAGCTGAGGCATGAGAATCGCTTAAACCCAGGAGGCAGAGGTTGCAGTGGTGCCAAGATGGCACCACTGCAACAACCAGCAGGCCTGAGGGTCATCCTAGGTGCTTTCAGGTTTTCTGCATTTCAGTGTGGAAGACATTCTGTAAGGCTATGTCCACACACTAAGCTCTCACTACTGATGTATCCATTATGGCCAGGTTTGACCTCCCAGGAAAGTGTTCCAAAAATTCAAGTAAAAATAGAAGTGTTACAAAAAACAAACAAAAGAAAAGCATGCTTTAACAGTAAAAAGTAGACTGTGCTTTTGCTCACACTATCACATGTAAGAAAAAGCATTTTAAAAGTTAGGTGCCATTTTGTTTTTTGTTTTTATAGAGACGGTGTCACTTTTTGCCCAGGCTGGTCTCAAACGCCTGGGCTCAAGTGATCTGCCTGCCTCTGCCTCCCAAAGTGCTGGGATTACAAGTATGAGCCACCGCGGCCAGCTGAGTATCCGAAGTTTTTATTTATGGTACACGATGCACACCTTTCTAATATGAAACGCCTCCATTTTTCTGGAAGTGAATGAACTGGTAAGAGCCCTTTTGCAAGACCTAAGACACTGTTGTTAGCCTGCAGCGTGGAAGAGAAATTTAATTTTATCCCTTCCAACTGGAAAGTTAATTGACTTAATACCATTTATTGGTTTCTGCATTTATCAGTAACAACTGCTCTATAATAAACCAAGTTTCAGCACACACAAGGATCTGTTTCTAGATCCTCATTCTACTCCACAGAAGCATTTGCTTACCCTTGAGACAGTATGAATTTTAGTTACTACATCTTTGTAATCTATCAGTATATCTACAAGGCAAGTTGTCCCCTATTTATTCTTCCCAATTGCACTGTAGTTCATGATATTTCAATTAATTTTGTAGTTTTCTTCATAAAGGTATGCTAAAGCTTAGCATAAACATATCATAAAGGTCTCAGAAATAATAGGCTTTGCTGCTATTGCAAATGGGATTTAAAAAAAAATCTATTGGCCATTACTAGTGTATAGGAAAGATACCGATTTGCAAGGAGGTGAGGCTTAAAATGACAGGCAGAGAAGGTAGGACTCCCTTCCCTTCTTCCACTTCTGTGATACACACACACCCATTTTCCACACTTAAGGCCATCTGTCAGGTGCAGATTCCTATTTTTAGCCTAGAGAAACACACTTCTTTGTGTGCACTATACAAAAGAGGGTAGGGTCCCCAGCATAGTGGTAGGGAGATTTAAAATTTACAAAACAATGTAACAGCCAAGTTCTTGGGGTTAAGAAATACATTCATAACATAAATATATTTTATTTTCTCAGCTAGTAAGAAGATCTCTTGCAGTGAGTCCATTCTTTCAAATCTCCAATAGTAATCATTTGTTCTACTTACTTTACAAAAAAATTTCAGTGAACTTAGAAGAACCAATATTTCAAAAAGCAGCTCCCAGAGGTGCATATTAGCTGTTTATTCCAATATCCTTTCTTTCTTTCTTTCTTTCTTTCTTTGAGGCAGAGTCTCACTCTGTTGCCCAGGCTAGAGTACAGCAGCACAATCTTGGCTTACTGCAACCTCCGCCTCCCAGATTTAAGAGATTCTCCTGCCTCAGCCTCCCAGGTAGCTGGAATTACAGGCATGCACCACCATGCCAGGCTAATTTCTATATTTCTAGTAGGGACGGGGTTTCACTATGTTGGCCAGGCTGGTCTTGAACTCCTTACCTTAAGTGATCTGCCCGCCTCAGCCTCCCAAAGTGCTGGGATTATAGGCATGAGCCATAGCACCCAGCCCCAATCAATCTCCTTTCTTTCTTTCTGAAGGTATCTGCTTTTGTTTTCTGACCACAGTGAGCCCAGCTGAAAATCTATTTTCTCGAGCCTCTATGGTCCTGTGACAGTCTGGCCAATGGGAACATGCAGAAACCACTGGGTTGGGCTGCAGGAAAATGTTGACAAAGAGGACTGGCTCCAGGTACCTTTGCCCTTCCAACTGCTGCCTGCCTGGAACATAGGTTTTGCTGTCGGGGGTTAGGGGTGGGAATAGGCAGGAGCCATCCTGTGAGAACAAGGTAAAATGCACTTTAGAGGAAAGCTAAGCAGAAATACCAGCATTGGGTCCTGAGTGGCATTAAGGAGCCACAGTAACAACCCCTCTCCAGAATTTGTATCATATGAGAAACATAAACTCCTATTTGTTAAATCAGCTATTATTTTTCTTTCCCAAGTAGCTAAATCACATCTCTAATATACACAGCATAACCAAATCTCAACAACAACTACATCTGATACTGATGAGGCATTTTCAGGAATACCCAAGACACAAAAATAAAAAATTTTGGCTGCGCATGGTGACTCACACCTGTGCACGGTGGCTCAATCCCAGCATTGGGAGGCCAAGGCAGGCGGATCATCACGAGGTCAGGAGATCGAGAACATCCTGGCCAACATGGTGAAACCACACCTCTAACAAAAATATAAAAATTAGCCGGGTGTGGTCGTGCACGCCTATAGTCCCAGCTGCTCTGGAGGCTAAGCAGGAGGATTGCTTGAACCCAGGAGGTGGAGGTTGCAGTGAGCTGAGATCGTATCACAGCACTCCAGCCTGGTGACAGAGTGAGACTCCTTCTCAAAATAAATAAATAAAATAAATAATTTTATAAGCACATTGCATAAGCAATAAAATATATGGTGTCTGTCTAAATGGCATCGGGAAAACAGACAGTTGAGCTATTCACTAGGTCTATCACATAAGGCAAAGTCAGTTCTACTTACGTTCTGTTGCTAAAACTTTCCCTTTTTATTGCAGAGAAATTCCAGGAACAGTAGCCATAAATACTACATCAAGAATGTTTACCTCTGGGCAGATTTTTGGGAGATCTGCTTTGGGGGACCCAAGTGGAAGGATCACTTAGGGCTAGGAGTTTGAGATCAGCCTGGGAAACATAGTGAAACCCCAGCTTTACAAAAAGTTTCTTAATTAGCCAGGCATGGCAATGTGCACGTGTAATCCCAGCTTCTTGGGAGACAGAAGCAGAATTGCTCGAACCCAGGAGTTGAAGACCACAGTGAGCCAGGATCCTGCCACTGCACTCCAGCCTGAGCAATAGAGTGAGGCCCTGTCTAAAACAAAAAAAAAGAATGTTTCTCATCAGCAGTGAAACCCATTAATCCAAGGTTTCTCAGCCTCAGCACTACTGACATTTTAGGCCAGCTACTTTCAATGGGAGGGTAGGGGTGCTGTCGTGTGTATTGCAGGATGTTTAGCAGCAGCATCCCTGGCCTCTACTCATTAGATATTAGCGGCACCCCTTCCTGTATCTGTGACAACCAAAAATCTCTCCAAGCATTGCCAAATATCCTTCGCCAGCAAAATCCAACACAAGCATATTCCCGAACAACACATAGTTAAGAACCACTGTTCTGGGCCGGGCGCGGTGGCTCAAGCCTGTAATCCCAGCACTTTGGGAGGCCGAGGCGGGTGGATCACGAGGTCGAGAGATCGAGACCATCCTGGTCAACATGGTGAAACCCCGTCTCTACTAAAAATAGAAAAAATTAGCTGGGCATGGTGGCACGTGCCTGTAATCCCAGCTACTCAGGAGGCTGAGGCAGGAGAATTGCCTGAACCCAGGAGGCGGAGGTTGCGGTGAGCCGAGATCGCGCCATTGCACTCCAGCCTGGGTAACAAGAGCAAAACTCCGTCTCAAAAAAAAAAAAAAAAAAAAGAACCACTGTTCTTATTTAATACCAAAGCACACCTTTAATCAAAACTAGATCTAGCCGGGCGCGGTGGCTCAAGCCTGTAATCCCAGCACTTTGGGAGGCCGAGGCGGGTGGATCACGAGGTCGAGAGATCGAGACCATCCTGGTCAACATGGTGAAAC